CACGACACTTCCTTAGTGCGGTCTTTCCTTCTCAAGAGGTTAGACGTCACTTTGCCTCATCACAAGTTCAAAGAACTGCGGCGCCCAGAGCCCATTACGGAACCTGCATTCCAAATGCTCCCTCTTTCGCCACAGTCTTCCGACCCCTCTTCGCCGTCACATAGTGACAACATGACGATACGCGACGGCCCGCGCTCCCCACAGGCCACCCCTCCGATGAGGAGGCTGCTCCGCAGCGGCTCAGTGTACAACAGTACCAAGACGAGCACCAGCGACGTCATGGCCCCACTCGGTGAGCCAACGTCCAAGTGGGAGCGACGCTCAACGCTCTCCTGAGCCACCAGGGTCGCCCACGCGGCGGCACACCCGACATGGCGAGCTAGAGCCCGGTGAGGTCGCCTCTGGCGAGATGGCTAGAAGCCCTGCACGGTCGGAGACCTTCTTCCAGAGGCCTTCAAGCCCAGCGTCGAGCTCTCGCGAGCTTCGGACGCCCAATCCGTTCCCCAACCGTTCTTGGTCGGCTTCGAACGCTCTGCGCAACGCGCCACCACTTTCCTCAAGGTATGAGGACGGGCGCACTGAGCCCGGTATCATTTCCCATGACCTTGACGGCGCCTAGAGCCGTCAGATCGCAGCGGAGTCCCACGCTCGGCCTAACCGGCCTGTGGCACGCCCAATTGTGGGCACGTCGCGCCGCGACTACGGGTACGTACGAACAAGCCCGGCTGAAACAGCCCGACGTGCTACCCTGTAGCACCTCGACACATACACGTATGGGCCCTCGGCCAGAACGACGGACGAAGTCGTTCAACGACAAACGCTCCGCGAGCGATACTTGACTCCGCAAGTTACTACTACCGCTGAGGATCGCGAACGGCTTCGCCAACAGCTCAAGGGCGAGCCGGTACCGTCGATGCAGACTGTACCTGTGGTCCTCGCAGAGGGTGAAACAACCGGCGCTTATGAAGCGCAGTTTCAAAACTGGATGGATATAGCCCGACGACTCCGCTCCGATGATGCTCTCCGAGGTAGTTTCTCGGAAACAGATATCCGCTAAGTGCGGCGCTTGCGCTTCGACTTCGCGAAATGTCAAACCAA